ATTTGCTCTGCTTCAAACATAAAATGAAGAATGTTGTGTGGTCTAAAGGACCCAGTGGTCTTGATGGAAAGTTCCAGAGTGGCTCAGAGGTAATTCAATTATGACATAATGATTTGTATATATGTAACTAAATTCATAATTTATGATTTTTAGGTATATATGCTTCAATAGAGGATTATCTTTTATGCGCTTATTGTTGAAATCTATGAGCATACTAAATTAATTTCAAATTCTGTGAAACCAGTGTCTTGCCTGTTGTAATACAGGCTTTAAGTTATTCATTAAATTTTAGGTCAGCCTTACGCCCTGTCGAACATAATTCTACAATATATTTAGAGTATTGCAATTATTCAACATTAAACACTAGTAAAGATTTTAGTAATTGAACATAATGCAAATTTAGTGTCCATTTTAAATATCATGTTTTATTATTTCAGTTGGATTTCTACATTGATAATGACATGATACACATTGCTGACACAAAAGTGGCTCATCGTTATGGTGACTTCTTTATTCGTAAGCTTCTGAAGTTTGAAGAACTCAACAGAAAATTGCACCATATTAAGATTTAATGTGCATTTTTATTTGAAATAAAAACAAACTAATATTGTAGTATATTTTTAATTGACCTTAACAATAAGAGGCACAAACTTTCGATTTCTTTTATAAAACCTTTTGGGCTCGTCTATTTTAAAGATTTCCCTTTGCACAGTCTCTGGGTGAGTTTCTTGGAACTGCTTCCAGGGATCTTCAATTTTCAATGTTTCCTCAATATTCACTTCTGTTAACCATTTACTATAACTTTTACTGAATCCATTGTATGCATCAACAAAAACACTGTTGACTTGTTTTTGTTTGTACTAAAAATATAAAATATTTATAAATAATGGCCGTAATAAATGTATAATTGTGAATATAAAAAATTAAAACCTTTTTTACTATTGCTTCACATTTCTCATTGAATAATTCTAAATGTTTCATAAATATATCATTGGGTTTCAAATTCTCCTGTTTTACTATATCCATTACATACAAAACATATCCAAATTTTGAGTTTGCTGTCCCATGCCTAAGTAGGGTGCCTAAAATCTGGATGTTAACTCTGAAACAATAATTTTAACAACCATTGCCCTTTATTATACAAAACATATAAACAGCTAAAATAATATTTTTTAAGCATAGTTTATATCGCGGCCATTGAGCGAAGTGAATAATAATATAGCTGCGGCCAATACGCGTTAGAGCGGGACAGAACGCATACTGCGTTTCACATCTCTCTTACGAGATCGGGTGACGTCACGTAAGCGCGGCCGGTACGCGTTAGAGTGAGACAGACTATATAGGCGTGTTAGTCTGAGTCTGGAAGAGTGGTAGATTGAATTAATATCAAAGAAAAAACTTGAATTAATATCAACAGTATATACATAAATATAGTATGGGATATACTATATTATTGTTTCATCTATTATATTCCAAAAACACTGTCACTTTAACAGAAATAATCAAGACATAATATTCCTTTTCTATTGAAACCATAATAGTCTAATACACTTGAAAGGATACTTATTTAAAAGTAAATAATTCATACTTAAGTTGTTTCTCTTTCATCTCATTTAAAAGTTTTTCACCATCTTCTTTTGTTTTGCAGGCCATTGCTAGAATGCCATAAGTCATTATATTAACTTTTAATCTGCGTTTTTTGTTAGGAAGCCTCATCCTTCTTTTGGACTCTTTTTCAATAATTTCCTTGACTGCCTGAAACAAAAAAATATAAAGTGTTCTTGATGGTCACAATTAAGAATTTTTAGTTTATTGCTATGAAAAATAATACTTACAAATGCATTGTCATAATCTAATCTTAGACACCTTTTTTTAATTAGCATATTGTAAAATTCTATATCGGGCAGTAATTTCATTGACTTAATGGTACATAAAACTTTATTTTCAGCTTCTATATTATTGTCAATAACTTCTAGCATTTGGGTGAAGATTTTAATATCTGGCTTTACAGAATAAAATGCCATTTGTTCTAAAAAGTCATCTTGGCCCCCTACAATAGCAAATTTATCTTGCACTTTGTTTACCTCTTGTAGGCCATAAACTTGCTCTAGTTGTAGTGTTTGTGAAAGTAAATTTGGGACACTTTGATTAGTTTTGCTGGGTTTGTTCTGTGTAACAAATCTTAAAGTAATACTGTTTTCTTTATTCTGACTTGTATTATCTTGCTCTTCATTTAATGGTATTGGTAAAAGTTGATTTGCACTGTGATCATAAGAATTTTGTAGCTCATTGTCATTGTCTTTACTAACAGATGAGGGTGATAATAATAATTTTATCTCATCTTTTGAATGTTTATCTTTACTTGAGTCAATTTGGAGAGGCCTATTAGATTTATTATTAGCTTGAAGTATTGTTGCTTTAATAATATTTATTAATTCTTGAATGTCTTCTTTACTCCCTAAATTGCATTCTTTTACACATTTTAAAATAAGATTGAATGAATAAATGTTCGGTTTCTCTCTTAGTGTTAACATTTTCCTCCAAACAATAAGAGCATGTCTTAACCCCGATTCTTTATCTGTGATACATGCGTGTAAAAGGTGATTGAAAGTATGGACTCTAATCTTTATTTTCTTTGAAATCATTTCATCTACTATTTTAAAGGCCATAGGTAAATCACCACATCTACCAAATGCCTTAATCATTACATTATAGTTTGTCAAATTAGGTTCGACACCTTTCTCTATCATGAGATTTCTTAGATTTCTTGCAAGTTTAAGACCATTTTCTTTCCAAGGACTGTTCATACAGGCCTCAAATAAACATGTATATGTGTCTCCTGTAGGTTTAAGTGCCCTCTTTTTCATGTCATTGTATAATTTGAAGGCTCTCTTTGTGTAACCAACTTCAGCACATGCACCAATCAAAATATTATAAATGTAATTTTCAGGTTTAACTCTATCTTCTTTAAGCATTCTTACTTCTAATACATCTAGAGCTTCTTTTATTCTCTTATTTTGTACATATTGTTTGATAATGTCACTATATTGTTTTATTGTTAACTGTTGCGATTTCAATGGGCGGCTACTTTGAAAGTTTTCTTCTTGTAGGTCTCCTTCATCTTCAATTATTTCATCTTTAATAATTGGTATTTTTGAAATAGTTCCAAAAGTATCTGGGTCTTCTAAGTAGGTTACATTATTTTCTGTTTTAAATGTTTTGGCAGCACTGGCGCGCTCCTTTTCTGTAATATTAAAAGAATTATGACGAACGAAATATATTATCGATTTATTCCTTGAAATATTTTTTACAAAGTTTAAACATCGCAAAGCCATTTCTTTTTTTTTAATATTTTTATTTTGCAGTAAAATAAAAATATATATTATCTTGAAAAACCACAGACGACATTAAAGCATAGAGTATATTATATATAGGATATACGATCATCACCCTATAATAGCGAAGTAGCGCTACCTGGAAATAGCTGTGCTAAAGGTGCGCTTACACGGGCACGGGGCAACTAAAATTGCTCAATTCCAGTCAATACTCGTCAACTATGACGTCACGACTACATCAAGCAATTTACGGCAACGGCAACAAGCATCAATACAATATTAAGCGACATGGCGCAACTTCATCAACTAGGCAATACTGTCCTACACGAGCAATTCAGTATTCTCTCGCTATGGACGACATTGTTCTTGCTGCGGCGGCTTGTAGCGCTTTTTTTATTATTAATCAAAAACAAAAAAGAAAGAAAAGGAATAGGCGTATCTGGGTGCAATCGTTTTTGGCCGCAATTTTCATTGTGTAAAGAATTAGATGATATATTATTCAAAAACTTTACTAGAATGTCACGAACAGACTTTGAATTACTTTTGAATAAAGTAATTAGAAATTATTATTATTTAGACCTCTCGCTCTCCCCGCGGAAGCAAGACGGCAAGCCGCAAAACAAACAAGTGCGAATGAGAGTGAGATATACAAAAGTTGCTAGGAATTTCCAAGTCCATTGGATATTCGTCAATTCGTATCTGCGACATTGAGCGATATGAAATATCTGGAGCAATTAGAAGCAATATCGCCGAAATAATTTATTGAATTTATTGAAATTGCTCCATTAATTGCTCCAGATCTGTCCATTCGTGTCACCAAGCAATTATTGCCTTCGTGTAAGCGCACCTTAAGTAATATACTACCAAAAGTCAAAACGCTCGTATGAATAGAATTTTAATTGACCGATATTACTACACAAAAAAGTTATTACACTAAAAAACGATAAGCATAATATATTTTTGGCGCGTTAGGGAAAATTTATGAGAGTAAATTTTTACGATGTGCGACCGAGTCCCTGAAGTTAGCATAGTCAACTTTTTAAAATAAAAAATGTCAATTTTTTCGAGTAGATTTTTTTTGTGATATTTAAATAAACTTTATTTAACTAGATAAGATAAAGATTTTTATCTTATTGCGCCAAAGAAATATAGGTTCTAACGCGTGTACATAAATACACACACATGTTTTTTTAATTAGTATATATTATAGAGTATATACGAGTAAATTAAAACAAATTCATATATATGAGTAAATTAAACTAATAAAATATTTTTTATTACTCTTTATTGTTTTTTTTCTTCATATTTTTTTTAGACACAGTTCTCCTCTATTTTTACTTACTGAAATATCTTTTCATAAAGGCCTGGTTATAAATACAATTTTTCCTTTTATCTCATACTAATTACTTACTGTTACAACCCCATCCACACCCTCGCGGTCGCGTGTCACCTAGTGGAGAGTGTGGATGGGGGTTTAGACCGGGCTTGGATGTAATTAGACATTAATGACTGACAAATGATAACTGACAATAATTATTTTCGACTTTGACATTACCAATCACGTGTTGGAAAGTGCTCTTTTATTTTATATATTAAACTTTTAACTGTATATTTTCTGAATAATTAGTTATTTTACTACTTTTGTAGCAAATAAAATTTTCAGAAATGTCAATGGAAAATGAAGAACCAATGGAAGCAAGTTCCTCTGAAAGTGAGGATGATGAGATGGACGAAAAATCAGATGACGACGACGATCGTCCAAAAACATTCCTTCCTGGTCAAGAACTAAAAGAAGATGAGCAGCTGGTATGTGACCAGTCTGCGTATGTTATGTTGCACCAGGCCCAGACCGGAGCTCCGTGCCTAAGCTTCGATATTATACAAGATAATCTAGGAAACGATAGACATCAATTTCCGATGACGGCGTATCTCGTCGCCGGTACACAAGCACAAAGCGCACACCTTAATAAGTATAACTTTTTTTGTAAAACAATTTTTTTCATCTTGTGCTTCTTAAAGCTAATAACTTTTATGTTAAGTATTCTAGTGTTCAAAATGTCAAACCTTCATCAAACTTCAAAAGGAGAGGATGAAGCATCAGAAAGTGAAGATGACGATGATGAGGAAGAAGATGAAGAACATAAACCAGAAATGACATTTGCTGTCATTAAAAACCAAGGCTGTGTCAATAGGATAAGGGTATGTGTTTTTAATACTAATACTTAAACATTAAGTTGTTAGATTATTATTCAACTAAATGTAATATGTCTTCCCATTCTTGTAGGTCTAAAGCCTTAAAGAAATTGTTTTTGCCTTAAAGATCTTAGGCACTTACATAATATTTCGTAGTTATGTAGAAATTAATAATGTATTTGTCCATAAAGTAAATAACAACAACAAACCTGATCTTACTGAAATATAGTAAACAACTTTTTTGTTCCAGGCAACTAATTTTAAAAATTCTGTGTTAGCAGCAAGTTGGTCTGAACTGGGGAGAGTTGATGTATGGAATATAACACAGCAATTGCAAGCTGTTGATGAACCAGCATTACTAGAAAGATACAATCTTGATACAGTGGCTAATCCTGTTAAACCTTTATACTCTTTTAATGGCCATCAGCTAGAAGGCTTTGGATTAGATTGGTGCCCAACTGAGCCAGGTGTAAGTTGCTGCATATGTTTTATAATGGAGTGGAAAATATTATTTAATTCTTATGATAACTCTATTTAGGATTAAGATTTTAAATAGTGTATAAAATTACAGGTGTTAGCAACAGGAGATTGTAGAAGAGACATCCACATATGGAAACCAAATGAAGCTGGAACATGGACAGTGGATCAAAGGCCTCTGGTTGGTCATACAGGCTCAGTTGAAGATATCCAATGGTCTCCTAATGAAAGGTTTTTTTATTTATATATATAAATATTGATTGATCTTGATGTACTATTTTAATAAATATCAGTTTTAGGCTAAATTAATTTTAAATCAGTTAAATTTTTGTTTTCAGGAATGTATTGGCAACTTGTTCAGTGGACAAAACAATTAGGATATGGGACACAAGAGCAGCCCCTAGCAAAGCATGCATGTTGACTGCAGAAAATGCTCACCAAAACGATGTGAATGTGATATCATGGAATAGTAAAGAACCATTTATAGCCAGTGGTTAGTATATCTGTATAGAAATTGAAATTGTCTACCAATGACTTTGTGAGGCCTAGTAGGCTCTTAACAGTGACTACTGGATGTCTGGATGTTTCATTAACATTCCAAAATTTCTTTAAGCACTTTAGCATTTTAAGATGCCTGGCACTATAAAACACATAACAAACAACCAAACAGTAAAATTAATGAAAATATAATAACTAAATATACCGGATAAAACCACATAATCCTTGTTTGTATGTAAATTGTAATATAATTAAAACTATTTCCTTTTATAGGTGGAGATGATGGAGTCTTACATATTTGGGATTTAAGGCAATTCCCTACTGCTCCAGTCGGTACATTTAAACACCATACAGCACCAATAACCTCGGTAGAGTGGCATTGGACAGAAGCTTCAGTTTTGGCATCTTCTGGTGAAGACAATCAAGTAGCCTTCTGGGACTTGGCTGTTGAACGAGATGACGATGAAGTTGTTGATGAGGAATTAAAGGTGGGAATATTCATTTAAACAATAGGAATTATGCACAGTTGTAAACATAGGTCGAACTACCAGAATTTGAGTTTACAAATTAAAATACATAAGTAATATTAGTTTCTTCGAAATTGGGAAACCCTAAGTACAATTTTATTGTTTTATATAGAACCACCTGCCCTGCTTTTTTGCAATGTTGCAATATTTTATGTAAAGATTCACCAATCACTTGAAATTGCTCAGTGCATTTTGGACTGCTAATAAGAATAAGGACTGAACATAAACAATCGCTAAAAAGCTATTAATATATAATACTTTATAATTAAATCATTATAAAGTATTCTTTTTAATTTACTTTAATAAACTAATAAGTTTGTGTGTTAATCTATGTTATTGAATCTAACATATTTTTTTATTACAGAACTTACCACCCCAACTACTTTTTATACATCAAGGACAGACAGATATTAAGGAACTTCACTGGCACAAGCAGATACCTGGAGTGATGGTTACAACTGCTCATACAGGGTTTAATATATTTAAAACTATAAGTGTATAACATAAAGTAAAGACTAAAATTGTTAAAGTTTTTTATTTATATCACAGTACTATCTTGATCATTAGTAATAAAAACATTATGTATAAAAATTTAGTCTTCATGATGTAAAGTAAATAAAAATTAATTAGCAAGTATGCACCATAGCCAAATTAACCAAATGGCGTATTGTTGGCCTCCCGTGCGGACAATTCTGAAATAAAGTTTTATTAATTAACAGACTGCTAATGCTTTTTGAATAGTAATAATCTATTTTCAAATAATGAATATTATGGTAGGGGAGCCCAAGGGGATTTCGGGATTTACTAAAGCGCGGCAGATTAATAAACAGGGGGATAGCTTGTACTCGGTTAAGTACCTCCACAAAACATGAGGTCCATATATAAGGCCGCCTGTGAAGGAGACAGGATCAGATTAGTAAAAAAAATTGACCATCAGAAATTCCCGAGCGCATCAGATTAAGGTAGGGTGAGTTAATTACATCCTAAAAAGTGTATATTCCACTAATCTGACAATTTGAGAGTGACGGAAAAAAAGGGAGGGCAACAAAGTTGTAAAAAAAACGTCATCTCGACATTCTCGAGCGTGGCTAATTTTTTTTTTATTTTGAAGGAAATAATTCAAGAATAATGAAAAATATATAATCTGACGATTTCCGCAAGCCGAAATAACAAAAATTCGTCGATAAAGTTAAATGCGTCAGCTGCGTGATGCCTACATTTCCTTAAACCGATCGGAATCTACTAAACGGCGTTCTAAATATTTCCCTCAAAATTACATTTCCTGTGAATTTGAACCGATTCGACCGATACATTTTGAGAAATTTTGAAAAATCTTAAAAAATAAGAAATATTTTTTTTAAAGTGGTTTCTTTATCGATCAACTTCAAAAACTAATCCGCCTTTGAGCTTGAAAAACCACGTTGATCGCCACTAAGCTGGTCAAAAGCGGTTGATTCGTTCGAGAGATATCGTCAACGAAAGAAACCCGAAAAAGTGTTTATTCGGGATTACTCCGAAATTTGTGGTTCGATCAATTTAAATTACTTATGAGGATGATAAAACTGCGTCGAATGCCGCCAACCGCGTGAAAATTGCTTGATCCATTCAAAAGTTATTGCGGTTTGAAAATTCCAAAAATAGTGTTCTATGAAAACTTCTATCAGACTTTCGAGCTGGGAGAGCTCAAATGCATAGAAATGTTATTTCTTTGAACTCAGCGAGCTCAAAATATCAATTTTAAGCGCCCAGGAATGGAATTAGCGGGAAGTTGCAGGGATGGCCCTTTAGGTGAACCGTTTTTCTAAATTTTTTTTGTCAGATCAGGCGAATCCCTCTAGATAATCGTCAGATTATGAGACAGTACGTTTAGAACATAAAGATGAACCACATATATTTTAATCTGACGCGCTTGAGTATTTCAAAATTGCGATTTTTTTTTGCAAATTACGAAAATGGCTGTGGGTTTGCGTCCCATCGAAATCGTCAGATTAGTGAATGAGAGCTTTTTTTTGGTGCACTTAACACTCCCTTAGAAAATCTGACCGCTCGATAATTTTTTTTTTTCATTTTCAACCCTTAAATACAACCACCCGCATCATGCAAACGATCAGATTAACATACGTACATTATTAAAAATACGTAGGGCATAGATGCTATCAATATCTGACGCGCTCGAGGATGTCCATGCAACAGTTTTTTTTTACATATTTAACTATCTATAGCCGCTTCCCCCACCGATGAAAAGGAAATTTATCATATAACATTTTTTTCTTCTTATTATCTAAGCTTTGCATCCCAATAGGTCTCTACGACGCTCGAGTAAATCCCCATTTAGCATCGTGGGCTCCCCTACCATTAGGAAACTAATTTTATAATGACAAATTTTTACTTTAAAAAGTTTATTTCACATGATCAGAATCGTAATATAATCACTTATCAACCAAGATGTGAAATAGTTTAAACAGATAAACATCAAACTCATTTATTTTAAGTACTAATCATTCAGTCTAAGCCAGATTTTTTGAATTTCTAACATAAAGTAATTATTAATTTTAGTATACAAAACCTAGAGCATTATGTGGAGATATTTGGAACTAAGTAAAAGATAGATAAATGGAGCAAAATTTTAACACTATGACAACCAAGAGGCCATAAAAGAAACAGAGGTAGGCAGTTTTAAAGCTGAAATCATGGAAAGACCTGGACAAGATTGGTATACAATAAGGAAAAATGAAGGAGGCCTGTGCCGTAGGCAAACAGAATCGGTTAACGTAGATTAAGAAAAAAATAACTACAATGGAATCTCTATAACTCGAACCTCGTAATCCTCAGTAAGTCGAAAAAAAATTGCCATTCCCTTCCGCTGAACCCATAAACGCGGTATCTCGAATTATTTAGACTTTGTAACTCGAACAAAATGTTATATAGGTATACCCTACAAAGTATTGATAGTAAATATTTATACTCTACAACTCGAATTTCAAAACGGAGACTCCGTAATTCGTAGTTAGTAAAATATAATGAATGTCTTACTTGGAATTCCCCGAAATAATATCCATAAAATCAAATGTGAATAAACGGGTTCGGGGATTCTAATCTATTGTTTTTTATTTGAACACGTGCAATTAATTAATACATTCATAATTTTTTTAGAGTACAGTTTAATTAATAAATATGTAATTCTAACTACTAAGAAACTTAATTTGAATTGTTATTTAAATTCGACTCAACAAATCGAAAAATACACATAGAAATCGTGGGTGTGTAAGTCGAAATTTCAACAGTTAAATCATATGAATCTCGAAGTTCTTGTTAATTAAAAAACTCGTTAAGTCGATTTTTTGCATTTCCCATGAAATTCGAGTTTAATCGAGATTCCACTGAATGTATATAATTATAATTCCATAAATAAATAAGATAGCACTGATTATTACCCAGGGCTTGTCGATTTCTGCCATGTGATCGACCAACTGTCTCATATCCGCCTTGCTAAGAGCTGTGCCTATCATGACAGACTTTCTGCAAGCTCGCGACGCGAACATGGCTCTTACTCTGCTAGGCCTACAGTATTCTGATGGAGATTCCTGTAAAGGGCAGAAAATCTATTTAATTATGTTCTTATTGTACGATAATTTCTTAAATAAATAAAACTGACCATTATACCGGTGGATACAATAATTTTAAACCATAAAAACCAATATAATATAATTTTACACTCCTTGGTACGATAGCTGCCTGGCTTCTAGTTGTGAATACTACTCACAAACATTACATATATACAGATTTAACGTGTAAGAATGACATAGTAAAACCAAAAAAGTATGTGTAAAAAAGAACATATACAGGGAGTAAAATTCTGGTAAAAAGACTGATCACCTAGTGATTCAAAATGTTATCAATTATTTTCAAACCTTTAGCATGAATAAAAGCTCTTCAATATCATCCTTGCCAAATATCCAGTTCTTAGACATTGGTAATGTTAATAATTTAACTCTTTTGGTTATAGCAGCGTTTTCTTCAATATCAAACGTAAAACCGTTTTTTTTAAATATGTCTAAATTATCCATTAATATTTGCTCATTGACGCCAGTGAGCTCAAGCTGTTGAGGGCTAAAAAAATATTTATATTTTTTAATTGAAGGCCAACCATTTCTATACCTTCTTTATAACCTTTCTGTAATAAGTCTAATGACTTAACCCCAAGTGTGATGCTTGAGAAAAGATTTTTATTTTATTGTACTTAAATATAAAATAAAAACATCAGTGTTTGGTAGAACAGTGAGCTTATTTAACTTTTGAGGTAACAGCTCCTGCTAAGAAAGCTCTGAATTGAATTAGTAGTTTTAAACTCAGCCATTGTTTTTCATACATCTTCATTGGGTCCTTTCATAATAATAATTTATTGCAAGAATATGGTACAAAAATGTGTAAGGTGGTACAATCGTAAGTTCGCATATTCTGCCACACACAATGGCGCGCAAATTTGTCTTTGGAGGAATTTTACATATCATTAAATATTTCAAGAAAATATTAATGAAACAGAAATAAGTATGTATTATAAAACAGCAAATAATTTTAGAACTTAAAATTCCTAAAACCAGGAAATAGAAACTTACATAACCAATTTTTGACTTGTGAGTTCAGTAGTTTTCTGTAAAGTCTCAAAATTATAAATCTCATCGGTAGCATGCTGGTCGATGATGAAAAGGTCATCATCTAAGCGGGTAATGATAAATCCTAGATTAAATTGACCAATCACTTGCATCTGTTTAAATGAATGTTTAGATATTTCCCTATTTAATTCTTCTTCACATTTTTTATTAAACACGGGATCAATGCGGCTATTAAATTTTATTCTTTCGGGTAATTGCTTTTTGCTTTTCTTGTTATAAATTTCAGTTAAGCATTTAACCTGTTCCAAAGATGTTTTAAAGGTAACAAATGGTCTAGATGTTTTTCCCAAGTCATTGTGGTCAGTTTTCACTTTTTTATTATCAAAAGTTTTTATTTCTTCCATTTTCTCTGTAGAAGTTTTCTTATTGGGATCTTTTGTTTTGCAGTATATTGTATGCAAATCTTTTGTTATCACATTTGATAGTGTTAAAATTTGTGTTGCTGGTAATTTTTCTGTAGATTCTAAATAAATTATATCGTTCGTTATTAGATTATCTTTATTTTCGGGTCCGTTAGTAGTAACTACTTCTATAAAATCTGAATGTTTCTTATAATCCTGTACATTATCATTTGCTGTTTCTAATGAAGATGGGATTGCTTCAACATAGTCTATATCCTGTTTTAGTGTGGCATTGGGAGAATTACTGTTTAAACTTGCTTCGCTAAGTTCATTATTAATTGGTATTTCATGATCATTCTTTTTATCATCAGTTTCATGACTTCTCTTTATTTTTGATATAAAACTGTCCAAATTTGTTGGTAATTTTCTTTTTAAATCATTGGATTTATTCTTTTCAGATATTTCAGACAAATCAGTAATTATTTCTTTGTTTTTATTAAATTGTTGCATAAAGGAATTAAAGATTCTAGGTTGGCTTAAATTAGGCACTAACACTTTAGATTGGTCTTCACTAAAAGTGGAATTTAATTTTAGTGTATTAGGGATATTCTCAAAAAGTTTTATTAAAGATGCCTTTACAACATCCAAAATGGCCTTTTCCTTAGTAAGAAATACTTTTCTCTTATCTGGAGTTACATTGACATCAACAGCATCTCTATCTATAATTATATTTAGAAACACAAATGGATATTGATTTGAATTATACTGTTTATATACTTCATTGACTAGTTTAATAATTTTTGTTGGCTCACATGGCCTAGAATTGACATAATACAATTGTCTATCTGTACTAGACCTTCCACTTCCATGTTCGCATGAAGATATAAACCCCTCCAATTCAACTGGGCTTGGAATATTTTTATATCCTTGTGATTTTTGTGATAAAGAAAAGCTATCACTCTTACAATTGTGAGTTTTATTTGCATCAGCATCATTAGAATCTTCAGATAAATCAATTTCAACATCATCTATTTCAATTGTTTCATTATGTTCTTTCACTTCTGCTGATAAGCCCTTAAATATGTTTTCTTTGATGTTAGATACAATTTCTGTATTAATTTCAAGTATACTCTGAATTTGTTTATGACCAAAGACAGATGCTATGTTGTCTTTATATGATTGTGAACCTGTAGTTGTTACTACAACTGATTTTGAGTTTGATTGCGTCTGATTACTGCATGTGATTCTGAAAAATGTTATCTAAATGTGAAATAAAAATTGGATAATAGTTATTTAATTGTTCTTAAACAACTTACTTAACTCCTTTTGATATAAGACAGTATGCATACAATAAGTTAGTCATCTTATTAAATTCTCTTTTAGAATTTTTATGAAATTCCTTTTGTCTTACAGGTAGAGAGGAAAACAGATTTGTTAATGTGACAGTAGTTCCTATTTGTCTTGAGCATGGTGTTTTACTTAAAATATTACCTTTGTTATCATACTGTATTTTAGTTGCTGCAAGAATATTATAATTAAATAATAAGGTATTATTATTAAATTAAAAATTATTAAGGTTTAATTACCATAGCTACTTGTTTGATGTCTAGTGATAATTGTAAGATTTCCCAATGAACAAAGAGAGCTTAAAGCTTCTCCTCTGAAGCCAAAGCTAGTAACTCCAAGTAGATCTGAGTAGTCATTTAACTTTGAAGTATGATATTGCAGTGCTGTAAAAAAATACTTATTAGCATTATATATTAAGTCCACAATTAATTTAAATAAATTAGGTACTATTAAAAGCTCAACCCTTACTTAATGCAGCCATATTATCTTCAGTTACTCCAGTACCATTGTCAGAAACTTCTATAAGATCTATACCATAGTTCTTAAAACGAATATCAACATTTGTTGCCCCAGCATCCAGAGAATTTTCTAAAAGCTCTTTCACAGCAACCGCTAAGCTAAGAACAACCTATAGGCATAACATTTAAGTAACGGTTACCTAAATTGTTTATACCAAAATCTATCTAAGTTAGTTTAGAAGTGAAGGATGCATATTTAATTGAAATTATTAAAAGAATGTTAAATATTTTAAATTCATACCTGCCCAGAACATATTTTATGCACCGTATCTTTGTTTATGGGTTTTATATTTTCTTGATTCATGATTAACAATGTACTATAGATTACAAAAAACGTTATCTATTTACTAATCGTAATATGTGTATACCTATCCTTGGTAGCAAATACAATAAATTATAAAAGTTTTGATTTACCTAGTAAAATCTAAAATAGTCAATAGAAATTAGAATCTCAATTCTCGCGCGCCGCGCCGGGACATCAAATTACAAACTTCAAAACATTTACATTTACAGACCAGAGTAGTAATCCACAGATAATTCTTTAACAGGTTACTTAAGACACAATACAGATCTGGGGCCTTCAGCATTTACTTTAAAATCTTCCACGTAAAAATGGCTTTCAAAAATAGACAATTCAAACATTAACATTTTTTGCATTCTTAATAATTAAATAAATATTAAAGGTCACAGCACACATATCAACTCGGAAAGGGATCGTCACCGCACATCGCCTTTCGCCCCGCCGTCAACCAGCTGTCAACCTAACGTATGCACGTAACCAAGCGTATACAGCAGCTTCTGTACGTCAACTCGGCTACGGCTAGGCAACACCGCGCTTACGGCTCGCCGACCGCTACTGCCTGCTGTCGCGGGGCTAGGGTGGACGAAGAGACGTGAGTTCGGGTACGGACAGACGTAAGCGCAGGGACGACGAGCCGTAAGCGCGGGAACTGCAAGTTGACCACGCACCGCATCACGGTTCGGAGCCTGGGGCTTAAGTCAAGAAGCTTTAACAGTGGTGTATGTAGAATACATACTACATAGACACATACTTTAACTACTAAATATAATTTAATGGTCATTATAAAATATTACAGTACCTAGTTATTATCACCAAACTTACTACAAAAAAATTTGAAGTTCTTCTTTAGGCGCGTTATGAAAAATTGATGAGAGTGAAATTTTACGATGCGCGCGCGCCGTTATACAAAATTAACAGAATGAAGTTGCCCACGGAAGATGCTAAGGCATTGGACATAATTTAAAAACAACATTCGAATAATAATATAATTTATGTTACACTTATTGTAAGAGAATAATAATAAATATTTATTTATTTAATTTTTCAAAAGTAAACTGAACTTTATTGACTATAATGACTCCTTTTCCAGTCTTTGATTATTTAATTGTAATTAATTATTTGCTTGCAATCAAAAACTATTTTTAATAATGCCAAGGAAGTATAACTTCTTACGCGCGTACATAAGTACACGCACCATTTTTTAATTTTTGACTTGGCACAGTAAGATTAAACCCGTAGTCAAAATAACTTAAAAAATTAGACTAGACGCAAGACAAACAATTATTTATTGACATTTGACAATTTACTTTTATATTACAAACAGTTATCACTATAATCTATATCTGTAATCTGTATTTTTTGTATTCAGCAACTTCTCAGTTCTCGGAAAGGTCGAGAGTATTTAAATATATTCTGTTTTTGTGTTTTAAATATTAATGGTCATTGGTAAATGTGTACCATATAAATTGATTTTAAGTAGCAGACAGTATTATTTCTAAAAATGTCTCTTAATACAGCTCATGCTGATCATGGTGTACTCATACACGCCGGAGAATGGTATGTTTCTGCGTCATCGCTTTGTATCTGCACTATTTACTTCGATTAGCAGCATTACATATAGCTATATGTTACCAAATTATTGTCATAGAATTGATAATTTCCAGCATTACTTGTTTATTTTACCTTTTTAAATTTTTTTATACCACTTCAAAAAAAAACATTATTTCTCAAAAAAATTCAATAACTGTAAAAAATTTAAAGGCTGTGAAAAACTGTTAAATGTGGTATCTATTTTAAATTTATATGGTTTACTTATTGTAAGATCAACCATAATGATGCAATAATAATGAGTCACCTTGTTCAGTGCAGATTTTATAAAACATTTTTTAGAAGATAAATCTTATTGTGTTTAAGTCCAATTTGTTACTGTATTTAATAATACACTGAGTATTGAGGTTTATACTTTAAAGCCCATGTACTTTTTTATATTTTTCATATAGCTTGTTGGATGTCTGGTGTGATTGAATTAAACAAGCCTATAAGTTGCAGGATCCAGTTGGCTTTTAAAACATAATACTATTTACATGTTTGTCACCATATTTCTGTGTATTCTTTGATATTTTTCTTAATGTAGTAAAATTCTAAAAGAGCTTTGTAGATAATTTTGTTTATAATGCTATAAACACAATATTAAAAATTCTGTTATTATTAATGATGATCATTACTAGTAACAGAACTGCTTATAAAAATTAAATTCTTCTTATTTCAGTATCATATTGTTCTCTGACAATGTAACCTTGGAATTATACGGCAATGACACCCCACAATTCAAAGGTCCCAAAAATGGACGTATGTACCTTACAACCCACAGGATGATATATAACTCTAAAAATAATACTGATGCAGTGAGATCTTTCAGTTTCCCATTTGTTGCATTGCAAGATGTAAGTGATCTTTAAACAATATTTTTGTTTAATAACTGTAAACTGCTTAATAATAAACTGACAATGTTGTGAGTAGAATTTCTCTTACCTGTTTCTGGTGCAGTTTAGAGATTCAGTTGGATTTTCTTTACTTTTTAATCTAAAATAAATTTTACCCTTTTATATTGAGATACTTCTTTTACATTTATTGAGATTTATGTCTAATTTTTTTAGGTTACAGTAGAACAACCAATGTTTAGTGCAAATTTCATCAAGGGAAAAATACATGCTCAACCAAATGGAAATTTTATTGGTGAAGTGAAGTTTAAGCTCACATTTAAATCCGGTGGGGCAATTGAATTTGGAACAGCAATGCTCAAAGCTGCACATTTGGGTATAATTGTTACTTATAATAACACTTATCAGGTTATATCTTACTGAGAATAGATATTATTTATGGATAAGTATGTACAGTTGCTATCAGTGTTGTTTGGTGTAGTTGCATAAATATTTATATGACTCTTATCTATATACATGGTAGTGTTTTTGTGAGGTAATTTGAATCTTAACATTTTCTACAGTGAGAAAACTTCAACTTTTTTATTCTTCTTTCTCAGTGCTATTAAATAGACAATTTTCTTTTATTCAGCTTAAATTTAATCTTTACGTAATTGGGTTTTTGAAAAAAAAAAAAAAAAAAAACGTTGTTAAAATGCAATTTAACAGTGACTATAAACGCGCCATAATGATCGATCACCATTTGTGACTATTAATATATATACTATATATATAGTATATTTAATATATTAAATATTAATATTAATTAACAAAATTAAATAGATCAAAACACTATATTTATTATTTTTCTATCAACTGCAATGAGTGAAAACTAACATTATGGCGTCACACGCGCTCGGGTTTGTTCGGTACTGGATTCAAAAATTATTTATTATTTTGAAATAACTTTTGAATTATTGCGAAAAAAAATAAAAAAAATAGTTTTGTTATAAAACTTATATAATATGATCTTTCCCTTTATCACAAATTTTTTTTTTCAAAAACCAAAATTGGTTGTCCTTTAGAGTTCTTTTGTGTATTCCTGAACAATTTAATTTTTTTAAGCATACTTTAAATGCATATATAAGTTTTTTAATAAAAAGGTAATATAAATATATTGCCGAACAATAGCATAATTTTTATAATATGATGACCACTCTTCAAGGGTGCGCCATATTATTATTAGCTAATAGATACTGGTATCCTTTTCAGCATCCCGTCACTCCAACCCGAATGCGCCCCCGCCGCCTTACACTCCACCCAGTGGCCCATGGTACGCAGCTGCGCCGCCCGCTTACGCCCCACCACCGCAAGGTTACTATGGCTGGGTCCCGCCTTACTCTGTAAGCATAACCTTTTTTCTGAGCCAATTTGCAAAGCAAACACCCATTTTTTTTTCATTTTTTAGATAATTTTATGTGGTTCGTCGTTAATGGAATTTTGAACTCAGTTGTCATTTACCAGCTACTTAGAAATAAACAGAGATATTTTATAATCGCGGGAACTTCAACTTATATATTTTTAAGAATACCTTCCCAAACGACGCAAACAAATGATGTCTATTTTTAAAAACCAAAAGAGTATTGTTTGTTTTTTTTATTATTTTTATATCTAATGTCTGGGCCATGCCTGTATTTTTCATCTTTCCAAGGAGAATGTATCGCATTGTTATTATTTATTGAACATCCCTTGTATGACATAAGGTCATAAACTGATTACATTTAATATTTCTTATTGCAGGCTTTTCCCGACCAACCAGCACCAAACTCTGTATTTGTATCAAACAGTCCCCCTCCATACCCTGGCGTGATGGGTGCTGCATACCCGCAAGGTACCGGATTCTCGGGCATTGATGCAACAGGTGGGTCCGGATATCCCAACGCACCTCCTAGTTACCCGGGTAATGGAAACCCACCCGGATATCCGGGTAACAATCCAACCGCGACAGGTTTTGCAGGAGGTTTTGTACCTCCACCTGGAATGTCTTCAAGTGGTAAGTTCTGATTTATTATTTAGCACATGTGAATTTTAATTATAAACAAATTATAATGAAAAAAAAAACAATGCACAATTTGCTACATTTATGAGATGTGAATCTTTCAATTTGGTCATGAAGTTATTTCAACAGGTGTACACAAACACAAACAAATGTAATTTAATCAAATTTTATTAACGGGTATCACATGTGCTATAAAATACAGATTTATTTTCTAGTTAGAATACATTGATAATACAATTATTGCAGGTCTATATGTTTATTATCCTTTATGGTGGTATATATGGTAAATTTTATTATATTTTGACATGTTTGATACACATATCATAACTTGTGTAATATTTGTAAATTTATAGTTTTTTTTTGTGCTAGCCTAACTAAGATTAACATAGCCATTGCTCACTTGTGTGTATTTTTGTGTATGTATGTATATTGGTATGTATGTAAGTTGCAGTAGTGTTGTAAACATTTTCAGAAGCAAAAGCCGCTGAAGCTGCGCAAAGCGCTTATTATGATCCCAACAGACCGCAAACAGCCTATGTTCCACCTCCATATAATGTGAGTAATATAGTATTAATTGATTTGGTAGTATTTATTGGTTCATACTTATAGATTCGTATTATATAGAAGCCTCGCCCTTCTATATAATACGAAGTCACACCAAGCTCGTGGCTAAAAAAGAGGTAACCCTATACGGGCAAGCCATCCCGTGGCAAAAGTCCGTCAAATATCTAGGAGTCACGCTCGATAGCGGCATGTACTTTCTTATGCACATAGCCGGCGTTCGCAAGAAGGCCTCTTTCGTCTCTTGCCTCTATTTTCTCCTGAATAAAAGGAGTCACATGTCCCTTAGGCAAAAGGTGATATTGTACAAGGCCTGTATCCGACGGAGCAAGACCTATGCTGGCGTAGTCTTCGCGCATTTTGCCCCAGCCAATATCCACAGGTGCTTCAGTCGCCATTCATGAGAATCGTGACCGATACGCCCTTCTACGTGAGGAATGTCGATCTCCACCACAAGCTGGAGCCCCCTACCATAGTCCACACTCCAATCACGATAGATAGATAGATAAAAAAAAATAAAAATCAGATTAGGTTAAAAACCGCCTTCACCGGGGAAGGCGTGGACCTTTAATTCGTACTTCGCTCACTCCAGTGGGCTTCCGTCCACCTTTGACCACCCCGCGACTGCCCAAACCGAGGTCCGAGTCTCGCAGGAGACGCCCATGCGCTTGTCGCGGGGGAACGCCCATTCAGCCGACTTACTCTCTTTAAAACAGCCCGAGCTGTAAAAGTGTAGAGCCCAACAGCGAGATTCCATTTTTTTAAAAATGCTCGTGGCATTCGCTAGCTGACGTCTGCGAGTACGATAGCCCTCCAGGTTTTGATCGATGCCCCGCGTCGTTAAGCCTTAGCTAGGTGAACATATGAGTTGCGATGCCACGCGTCCTCCCTACGGTTCAATGTTAGGTTACTCATATTGTATGTACCTACTGTAATGGTAATCAATATTGTGTCAAGGGGAACGATAAATTATTTTCTTAAGGACAATTGAGGTTAATTCTCAACACGCCCTTACAAGATGGATTATTATATTGTAGTATTTGCTTAACATAACATTTAATTTGATAAAAAATTATACGTGAAAAAATTGATAGTACTTCTACCATGCGTTAACTTTCAAAGGAAGAGACAAAAATTTCAAAAAAAAATCCTATTTAAAATGATTCTATAGTGATTTAGAAAAACGTTTGTATTTCAAACTCTTTTATTTTTGATACTAATATATATAATGCAGCTTAATATTTTCTAAATTGTCTTAAAATCAATGTATAGGTTTCAATTATTGCTTTAAAACTAAAATATAATGTTCTATAACCAATTACTTTAATTAAATAATTTTTAGTATCATTTAATATTGATACTTTTTACTTATGATGCAGCATTATTTTTAAGAACAATTTTTTTTTTCAGGATCAACCCCCGACCTATCAGGAATCAACGTCGAAAAAAGAGAACTAGAGCACTGTCCACACTTTCACATGAATGCACCGCGGCGCCAAATAACATTCGCACACAAACCAGAGAAAAAGCATCATCCATAAAATTTCGGCCTTATATATATCATACATTTACTCCAAAATATGTCTTTGGAACAAATAGTAACCCCATTTTTAAACATAACCCTTGTGTACAGAGTACTTTATACTTTATTTCTTTATTCTGATGGACGGACCGTGGTCAAGTAAATTAATTTTAAAAAAAAGAACCTTATTTACAAAGACTAAATTAATCGTGTTACACTTTTTAACTAACACATTTATGTGCTATTTTCATTACAGCATAATCATAAATCAACAGGCCCCCTGTGCTTAAAGTAGTGTAACATGATTAAGTATTTATTAATAAAGGAGATAAAAATGAGCTATTTTTGGCCAAATCCACTGGTGTTTTAATAATAATGATTATTATAATTGAATATGCCACTATTGAAAAGGGATTGAGAGCATCCTTATAATCTGCTCTATGTAATTGGCCTTTGAAGGCTTAAATGCTGTCACTAAATTAAAAGGTATTATTGTTAAACTGCATTGTTATGATATTTAAATGGCTTTACATTCCCAAAAATTTATATAAATATGGCTGTGTAAGATCTCCAAGTATTATTCCTGAAGGCAAAGCTTCAATTATTGGCCATAATGCATATAAACAAGTATAATATATTGCCTTATAGATGTACAATGATTATAAAAGATATTTAATTCATAAATTCTATTGTATAAGATTATAGATGTTTTAATAAATGTATTATTATGAATGTTGATAGTTTAATTTTTAGTGTTAACTGCCAAATAGCCTTTAGGCCATAGGGTTAAAAAGATCTTATTTATTTAAAGGATCTAATAAATAAAAATATAAACGTAAAAAACAGTATTTCATAAATTGTCTATAAGTTCTAATTAGTTTTTTAATATTTTTATGTATTTTTATGTTACTTGATAAGAAATATGTCTATAACGATCACAGGAATCGGGGAGTAAAAATATATCGTGAGATTATGTACAGTAATATAAATTGTGTTCTATGGATGTGTAACTGTCCATCACAAAAAGAAGATTAAATATGTCAACATTGAATAAAGAAAATCAATAAGTCTGTCAGAAATTAAAAAATTTTGTGTCAAAAAAAAAGCAAAATAACAGAGTAATATGATTTAATTTCCATCGTAACATTTAATAGCATGGGTAAGTAATTGTACAGTTTAATGGTACAGCTTTGTACAAAAAGCCATGTAGATAAGCCTCAACCTAACTTGCCACTGGAAACTTTTAATACAAAAGTTCAATTGAGAATTTGTTAAATTTAGCCAAAAACAATGATAAGGTATTGAACTTTTGTACAAAGTTGTAATTTTATATTTTGTATTTTGAGACTCAATTTTTTTTTTCTTATCTAGACTAAAAATTGGCACTGGTGATTCAGACATCCTGAAATACCCCTACCATGAGTAACTGTAAGTAACTTAAATATGCTAGATAAGTAAATCTTTATTTTTGCGTGATTTGGTGTCAGTGAAAAGGAAAAAAAGAGGAAACTTTTTAAGGTAAGTAACCATGAATTCTTAAAAACTATAGATTTTTAGTGGCAAGTTACCTGTAGGCTTGGTATTGTGGAATTTTATATTATAAAAGCTTAAAAAACTTTATTCAGCTTATGGATTTTTTGTATTGCAGAGTAACCTTTATGGCACCAATGTCTCATCCGCCCTGTACGCCGTCGGCGTCATGTACCCCCATCCGATGTCACCCTACTCCACCTCCATGTCAAAATCCGGAAAAATGCCTCAAGAAAACCACTTCGAAAGGCATAAAGCCATGCCGGAGCGCGGTATCCATAATGTCAACTCGCTCCAAAGCTAAATGCGGCAGTTGTGGAAAATTAAAATCTTCCGACCCGCGAAGCGTTAAGGAAGTAGAAAAGTTCCTCAGTAGGAAGTCAAAAGAAGCGAAAATGAGAAAAAATGATCAGCTAACGGGGAGCAAGTCCTACCTTAACTACACCAAAAAGAAAGGGTCGCCGAGATCAGATGCGGATTGCTGTCTTGGAAAGGGTCATCGAGGGAGAGTGTCGAGAGACCGGAAATGTTGTGCAATATTGTAACTTCTGGTTTATCAAACAAATTTGTAGATCTCATAAATATTTAATTAAAAACTTAAATATTTGATTTTTAAGCTATGTAACTGTTATAATAAACAATTCATGAACTAATTATATTCTCTTTTTTATACCTACAACTTTTCTAAACAAGACGTTTTTAACTAATACTAAAATATAATTTTGAAGTTAATTAATTAGTTTTCCTAATCATGTTCTATCATTGCAGCTACAAAGAGTATTAAACCATGTATATCAGCGCCAACGTGCAGTGTTCACAAGCACAGACCTCGACCTCCACCCTGTCAAGACCCGGAGAAATGTTATAAAAAATGTAGCAAGGGAAAAAGAAAATGCCCCAGTGCTACTGACACTGTAAGCAGGATAGGTACACCTTGTGAATGCGCTAGAGTTCAGTCAAAGGATTCTCGCATAAGCAATAAGTATAGTAATAAAACTCATAAAAAGCGAATACAAAAAGTATATAATCGGCGATCAACAGAATCTCGTTGGAGACAAAAGAAGAAATGTTGCACCATTTTGTAATTTATAGAGCACTGAATTAAACTTTTTACATATCCTAAGCATTTTATTAACCAAAGTATTTCGTTTTCAGTTAATATCAAGCTGTGAAGGCTTGCCTCTATAATCCAGTCAAAATAGACAAAAATAAGTCATAACTTAGCCAAAATTCGCATAGAGCTGAAAATTGGCAGAGACGTTAAATACATCATTATAAATGAAATGTCAAAAATCCCCTTCGATCCTACTTCTGCAAAAAAATTTATTCATGGTCAAAAGTATAAAATTAAGGTTTTTTCCATTTTTCTCGAAAACAGTTAGTATTATCGTGAAAATAGATCAGACAAAAGTTGTAGATCATACAATTCTCTACAAAAATGGTTCAGTCACTTTTTCTCTTACGACTCACCATTCATGAGATATCGCGGTTTTAATCATTAGAAAATTCATATTTTACATAATATGCACTAAAATGCAGTCTGTATACGTCACCGGACGTTCAATATAAATGAAAATAAGAAACTATTCGTTTGTGTTACTTACACATTAAAACTTGTATAAATTAAATGAGGATTTTAAAATATAAGACTATACTGTCAGTCCCTAATTCCCTTCGTCGGTAACCTTGAGTAACATCTGATGATCTGCTAGCTACGTCATTGTTTGAGTGTGGAAGGTCGCATACCTGCCTATTTTTGAAGGAAGTAAATGAAATGACTCTGAATGAATGATGAGTTAGTTTTGAAAATTCCTGTGCAGTGAGCAGACGTGCTTATTGGTAATATTTTCAATTTTAATTTGTGCTGTTAAATAATTTAAACAAAATGTCAGAAGTTTGTTTTATTTGTGATAAACCTTTGAAAGAAAGTGAAGTCGTTGTTGTTGATCGTGGAATGAAGACTTTGATTGATGCAAGTGTTGAAAGAAATGATAATTTTTTTGAATACTTAATACTTACTTAATCTGTGACAGTCCACGTGCAGTGTCGTAAAATGTATACTCGAAAGAGTAGTATTGTTGCAGCTAAAAGACAGCGCGAGACAGAAGAAGGTAGTACATCCACGATAAGTCCACCTCATACTAGAGCACGAGTAAGTGAGCCAGATTTCAACTTTAAAAAATGTTGTTTATTTTGCGGCGATGAAGCAAATGAAGAAGCTGAAAAGAAGAAAGCGCAGAATGTTCGTCGTAAAATTTATAACGTATCTACACTTGAATTTAAAGATTCCATTTTAAAGGTAGCTCGGACTCGTTCTGATGACGTAGCAAAAGCTGTTATTGCCCGCATTGGGTATGAATTTGACTTAGTTGCTGCTGAAGCTAAGTACCACAATAACTGTTATAATATCTTTCTGAGACCTACCACGGGATATAAAGTCGGTCGTCCCGAAGATTATTCAGTAAACTTGGCGATGGAGGAAATATTTCAGTACATTGAAAATAATGATGATTGCCAATTTTCATTACAAGAATTGAAAGATATCGGCAATAATCCAACTATAGATAATAAAACAATTAAAAGAAGATTAAAGTTAAAGTATGGTATAAAATTATTATAACTGAGAAGAAAGGAAGCTTAAAAATTATCTGTTTTATTGATAATCAGTACGATATTCTTAATAAAGCTTGGTATGAAAATAAAAAACAAAATACAAACGAAGAACGATTCAGAATATTGAAAGCTGCTGCAGCAATTATTCGAGAGGATATTCAATTCAATATCAATCTGCAAGAAGAAGAGAATGAAGACGAAGAAATAATTGTTGAAGTAGAATTAGACAATTATCTTATATAATGACATGTAGAAAAAAACAACCTATTCCACTTTAATCATTAAAATAAAATAAAAATAAAATATGTTTATTATGGAACATAAGATACATGTATCACTTATTCCACGTCATTAAATTTGAAGGCATCCCTACTCATCGGCAAAGAAGACAGAGGGTGTAGGCCGAGAGAAAAAGCCGGCGTAAAAAACTCTCGGTACTCTTTTAAAACAGCAAATCATCAAACAACACTTATTTAAAACAAATATCGCAAATTGATTAGAAGTAGCCTGTCTAGCACTAGTCCCAGGCCCTTTTATCAACTAGATAATCGTTGACTTTATAGTAAGCCTTTTTACACAGCTTTTCTTTAATACATTTCTTAAATTTATTGAAAGGCAGTGATAAAAGAGCCTCTGGGATTTTATTAAAGAAGAGTATCCCTTTCCCCAAAAAAGAATTACTAACTTTAGATAGTCTAGTACGGGGAAATTGCAGCCTGCGTTTGTTCCGTGTATTAACATTGTGCGTATGTTCTATTCTAGTAAACTTATCACTATTTTTGTATACATACATAATATTTTCATAAATATATTGCGAGGGAAAGGTAAGTATATTAATTTCCTTGAATTTATCTCTAAGAGATTCCCTACATTTTAAATTATAGATTGCACGAATAGCCCTCTTCTGCAGGATGAAAATAGTTTCGACATCAGCAGCATGACCCCATAATAATAAGCCATAAGTCATTAAGCTATGAAAGTAACTAAAATAAACAAGTCTAGCTGTATCGACATCAGTTAGTGAGCGAATTTTTTTAACCGCGTAGGCTGCAGAACTAAGTCTCTTCGCCAATCCGTTAATATGAGGGGACCACTGAAGTTTTGAATCCATGGTGATTCCGAGAAATACAGTTGTATCATCCAGATTCAATTCCTCACCGTTTATAATTGGTCTAGTATCCATAACCCTTGCATTTTTTGCACAAAATTTAATGCATTTTGTCTTTTTTGCATTAAGTAGAAGGTTATTCATACTAAACCAATGGACAATCGAAGACAGAGCATTGTTCACATCGTCAAAATTTGTTATTTGTCGTTTGATTTTAAAAATCAAGGACGTGTCATCAGCAAACAAAACTATCTGATGTTTTCTCTCTACCATGAAAGGTAGATCATTTATATAAACAAGAAAGAGGAAAGGGCCAAGAATTGAGCCCTGTGGTACCCCCATATCTACTGCCGACCCAGAGGACCTTTTACCATTCACTTCAACCTTCTGAGTTCTTCCGTGTAAATAGGAAGTCAGAAGATTCAGTGCGGTATTCTTGATGCCATAGTGGCGGAGTTTCCCGATTAAGGTCTCGTGTTGGACACAATCAAATGCTTTGGATAAGTCGCAGAAAACACCTAAAGCGTCATGCGACTCCTCCCAAGCCTTAACTATATATCTATATAACTCAACACCGGCATCGGCTGTCGAGCGACCCTTGGTAAAACCGAACTGATTATTATGTAATAATTTGTTTACGTTAAAATGACTTACCAGTTGATTTAATATAATTTTTTCAAATATTTTACTACAAGTAGGTAGTACGGAAATTGGTCTAAAGTTACTGGGGTCGGACATACTACCTGCTTTAAATAAAGGAATAACTTTACTATGTTTCATTAGATCGGGAAACTCGCCACTTTTAATACAATTGTTGAAAATTATAGCTAGATGGGGAGCAATTACATCAATTATGCTACTAATTATTTTTACAGAAATACCCCAAAGATCGGTAGTGTTCTTAATATCTATGGTTCTAAATATCCTCACTATATCGTCGGCACCAATGGGTCGGAATGAAAAACTGACCTTGCACTCGTTTACATTATCTTTGAGCAGCGATTCGGCGAGGGCGGGAGATGATTGAAGAGACTTAGTAGTCGAAATTGGAATGTCAGAAAAGTACTTATCAAAAACAATCGCTATCTCTTCGTTAGATTTGATTATAGTGTTATCGACACATAGTTCGATGTCTTGATTGCGATCCCTGACTCTTCCAGTTTCACTATCAATTATCTTCCAAGTCATTTTAGTTTTATTGGTACTATTTTTAATCTTGTTTTTGATATTTAAGGACTTGGCCGCGTAACAAACTTTCTTAAATAATTTCGAATAATTTCGAACATAAAGAATAAATTCTTCATTATGATTGTATGACTTTTCAGCGTAAAGGTCATACAACCGTTGTCTACTTTTATAAATTCCCGCTGTCGCCCAATCACTAAACGATTTACACTGCGAATGAGAGACTTTCTTTGGGGTAAAGATGGTGTTGAACTCTTTATTAATACAATCACTTAGATTGTTGTATTGTGTATCAACGGTAGTACCTACCGGTAATAAAGGTAGGCGTTTACCTATATTATGTCTAAATCTCACCATTCGCTTTTTATTCACTGGAACAAACACACTGCTCTTATTTACTTGTTTCACCACTTTACATTTTAGCGCCACTAACTGTCCACAATGATCTGAGCTAAGATCAGTTGTAATTGAGGTTTGCATTGCCTCTGCATCTGTAAATACATTAGCAATATTACTATTCTTTCAATTAATAGGATACGATCTGATCAAACTTTCTTTATTACAATAGATCGTGGAGTATACCTACAGGGGAAACCACGTTAAAAAAATGCGCCAAGTACATTACCTCATAGGTGGTGC